CTTGTGCATGTAACACTCCCAAATGACCCCATGTTGCCGTGCGCCGCTCCCAGGCCGCTCTATTTCTTGGCGTGCGGAGCACTCTGCGCCCTGGCTCACTACGCAGGCACCAAACCCCCTCGCATCCCCGCGCCCTCCTCTCCCCTGTGGCTACTGCAGCACTAGCTGCACCCTCTTGGGCAGACCCCAAAGGGGCTGGGAAGGGCCAGACTTTGGCGGGTCCGAGGGGCGGCAGGTACCTTTCTCTCCTGTGGGGCCGACTCTTCCAGGCCGTCCGGGTGCACCTTTGTCTCCCTTCTCTCCAGCATCCCCTGTGGAAGAAGTCACTGCATTTAGGACCTCCTTCGGAGCACAGATCCCAGAGTAAGCCTTGGCTTCTCACCCTGTGCACGGCCAGCCACGCCCCTTGGCCTTCCTCTCCCCTGCCCCTGCCCCAGCCCCAGGACATTTCATCTCTTACCCTGACCATCTCCCACCCCCATGGGCTTTCCCCTTCTTCCCACCCTCCATCACTGAGGCTCTCAGGTTTCCCTGCCCCAAATCTGTGTTGGGACTCTGCTTCTGGGCCCTCCTTCCCCCTCCAGGGATGTTGTGTCCCCTTCTCCAATTATCCCTCTGGGCTAGCTTGCCCTCTGGCGCACAGCACTCCCTGAGAACCCCTGTGCCTGACCCTCTGCCCTCAGGGCAGCATGAGGAGAGCAGGGTTCTCGAGGCTCTCCCGTGCCAGGTGTCCCGCTGTATCTGTATCCGACAGGTGCACCAGGGAAGAATAAACAGGAGCTCACGTCCACATCCCCGCAACCTTTCAGCATGAGGGGATGCAGCACACACTCAGGGGTGGGGAGCCCGTGACCCGGTGGGCACATCCACCTGATTCGGGTTCCCTGGCCAGGTGTGTCCTGCTGTTAGCCCAGGCTGCATGGCGCCGGCCCTCGTCACGGGTCCTGGCGTGTCTGGGCGGTCACTTGCTCATCTTTGATCTGTCGCTTGTCTCACTCAGAACTGAAGCGGGGAGATGGGCTATTCGTCTCCTGATGCCCCACGCTTCGCACACCGCACGTCGACCCGATGGCTTCTCCCCAGAGGTGAGTCCCTCCCGTGATGCTCCTGGTTCTAGCGGAGACACAGATTCTCCCAGCCTGCAAGCCCTCGGCCCGGCGTCATCTCTGCTTTCTGTCTCCCTCATCAGCGGAGCACAGCCTCTGCCAAGCTCTGTGGGGTCTGACCGGCCCACTCCCTGCCCTGGCCCAGCTGGGCCAGCCCTGGGGCTCCCTGCAGCTCTGGGGACTGTGCTCACATGGCCCACGCAGGACAGACGTGCATGGCATGTGGGGATCCCCACGAGCAGCGGAGGCAGTGCCGGGAGCAGAGGCTGGAGTTGGATGGGAGACATCAAGGTCCCTCCCTAGGCCTCCTCCCCACCCCACTCTAATCCACGCCCAAACCTTCTTCCTAAAACACAGACCCCATTATGTTGTGTCCCTTCTTTTTTTTTTTTTTTTAAGATTTTATTTATTTGTCAGAAAGAGAGATAGAAAGAGCACACAAGCAGGCAGAGAGGCAGGCAGACGCAGAGAGAGAACCAGGCTCCCTGCAGAGCAAGAAGCCTGATGTGGGACTCGATCCCTGGACCCTGGGATCATGATCTGAGCCGAAGGCAGAGGCTTAACCCACTGAGCCACCCAGGCATTCCTGTTATGTCCCTTCTTAAAACCACCAACAGGCTGAACGTGGAGACAAATAACGCCTCATTTCTAAAACCATCCTCAGGAGGTCTTCCTCTGGAGCCCAGGTCGTGATGGCCACCTTCTCACCTTCCCACCTTCCCACCTTCCCACCTGACCCTCCAGGCTGCGCTTCTGATCCACTCACGGCTGCCCCTTCTCCCCAGTGACCAGACCCTGCTCCATATCACACGGCTTGTCTGCCTGACCGCTGTACCGCTCCCCCACGAGCGTGCGTGTGCCAGCAGGGGGTCCGAGTAACCCCCCAGGTGCACCCAACGCCGGCCACCGTCCAGGCTACTTCAGTTCTCTGCAACTCTCCTTGGGCCCTCAAGCCTGGTGAGAAGCTTAACTGAGCTTACAGATGCCCCAACGAGATGCCCAAAACTGACTGGCCTGAAGGAGGGGGCATACCGTTTAAACTTCCGTAGACAGAGAGAAAAGCAGAGTGCCAGCAACAACCTGTGGTCGCCTGCGTGCCCCTGCGGGGAAGGCTCCACACAGCCCCCAGCTGAAGGGTGGGCTCACACACGCCCGGCACACACGTGGCCCTTAAGTTTCTGCGTACTTTACGGTTCTTAAGAAAGGAAACTATTACAGTAGAAATACTTGGGGACACGTTGATAGACCTGCAAGAAATACCGACTAACAGACTGAGCGCGCACCAAGAGCCTGCACACACTCAAGGGACACCAACATCTGGAAGAGAACTACCAGAGGAACGGGACCCTTGGGGCCATCGGCGTCTGACCCTGAAATAAGACGCTGAATATCTTCATAAAGGCAAGAGAGGATAGACCCCATCCCCTACGATCAAAAGTAAAAAGCACTGAAAAGAACCAACTAGAAATCTTGCACGTGAAATTAATTTTTTAAATTATTTATTTATTTATTTGAGAGTGAAAGAGAGAGAGAGAGCGTGCACAAGCAGGGGGAGCAGCCGGCACAGGGAGAGGGAGAAGCAGGCTCCCCACTGTGTAGGGAGCCTGACATGGGGCTCGATCCCAGGACCCTGAGATCATGACCTGAGGCGAAGGCAGAGGCTTAACCGACTGAGCCCCCCAGGCGCCCATGAAATTTTTTTTTTAATAATCTTATTTTATTTGAATTCAATAAATTACCATCTAGTGTATTATTAGTTTCAGAGGTGGATTCCAGTGACTCGTCAGTTGCTTGTAACGCCCGGTGCTCATCACATCACGCGCCATCCTTAACGCCCACCACCCAGTTAGCCCGTCCCTCGTCCATCTCTCCTCCATCAACCCTCAGTTCGTTTCTCATAGTTAAGGGTCTCTTATGGCCTATCTCCCTCTCTGATTTTGTCTTATATTGCAACCTTATTCTTAACAGTAAAAAAACTGGAAACGGTCCAAATATTCATTTAACAAGGGAATGGCTAATCAAGCTGTAGTATACATGAAATTAATTTTTGAAATGAATCTCTCTACAGAAAGGCCGAGTAGCAGGGTGGCCGACAACGCGAGCCACGCCACGAAACGGGTCAGGACGGAGAATGTTTTCACGGCGCGACGTGAAGAGATCAAGGACTGGAAAGTTGTGTTTGGATTTAAAGTTATCAAGTGGAGAGTGAAGAAAGCCCCACAGAGGAATTCCAGAAAAGGGAGAACAGACAGTTGAAGCCGTGAGGGTTTTGCCAGGTTAAGAGCTGTGGCCTCCCAGCACCAGGGAAAGGCATGGAAGACCACAGCGCAACTGCCACAGGGAACCACACGTGAGAGACGAGGGAAAGTAACGTGGATGCGACACGGTGACGTTGCAGAACCAGAGCGAAGGGAAGACCCTGTCAGTCACCCAAGAGGAGGAGGGGTTTGTGAAGATGGCAGGCTCCAGCGTGAGTCAGGCTGACCTGGGGATTCACTTCACTGCACAGGACATAAGGTAAAGGAAGATAAAATACGACAATAATTTCAACCCAAAAGAGCCATAATTGAGACTGAGAGATAGAAAAGGGCTCTCTGATGAAGTGACTTCTGGAGACCTGCCATAGCCAGGCACCCAATGGGCAAACGGAGCTCCGAGAGGGGGGCCCCACCTGCACAAGTGAGGGACCAGGATGGAAGAGACAGGTGCGCAGGTGCCAGCGAGGGCTGGGGGACGGGGCGGTGCCCAGAGAAAGAGTGGGGCCCTCCCCATGTGTCAGGGAGAGCTGGAAGTGTACCCCTAAGGGGGTCCGGGCCGAGGCGAGCCTGTGTCACCGCCTGCCGGACAGCACCTGCTCCCCCGTGCCAGCTCCCCCACTGAGCGGGAACCCCTGGAAGCCCAAGAGCACACGCAGCCAGCCCGGTGTCTCCCGGCGCACCCTGGAGCGGCCTTGACCACAAAGGCACTCTGGCTACACTTGGAGGAAGTGCACACCAAGCACGCCACCAGCTTTTCTTTCGTGGAGGAAGAGGAGCCCCAGAGGCTACCTACTGTGTTCCCCGTGTGCATGCAGCGAGCTCGCCCACCACAGGAGGCAGGATCACGTGTACCCCACGGAGGAGGAGCCAGGCCCAGAGAAGTAGGCAGCAGGTCTCGACCACCCCTCCCTAGTGCATCCAAGCCTTCACGGGTAAGACTGAGATCACCAGACCGCCAGTGAACCAGCACTGCGCACCCAGCTCCGCACTCCTCCCGGAGAGAAAGCAGTGAGGACACAGGCCTCATGACTGTCTCGGGCTCCCCGGCGGCTGCCCCCGCCCCACCCTGCTGCTGCAGGCCTGCATGGAGCATGACGCCTGTGTGTGTAGCAAGGCTCCGAGGACAGAAAGTCCCTGGGCAGCACCCAGTGCTACCTTGTGCCCACAAGTCCTCCTCCTAAGGCAGGAGAGAGGACTACTATATCATGAAAAACTTTCTAAGAGCATGACCTCTCATGGGTCTCGTCTCAGATCATCAGAAAGTCCCTCGAACACCGTTCTCCCCAAGATTCTGCATCATGGTCTCACCCAGTGCTGGGGAGCAGGGGTGGTCCCTGGGAGGGGGGGCGTCCAGAGCTCAGAGGCAGAGAGCCTCCGGACCCCCTGGTTGGGTAAGCCCTCCAACCCTGAGGACGGGGTGCACTGTGCCCTAGAAGACAGGGGCTGCACCCAGTCTGTGGTCTCAGGGACATTCAGAGCTGTGGCCCCGCTGATGAGAACCTCAGGACCGTATTGCTCTAAGCCTCTCCCCGCCAAACTCGCACGCACTCCATACTGTGTGCCCAGGGAGCCCAATATCCTCTCCCCACATCCTTTCCTTTAGCAGGCAGTGATCTGGGACCGATGACCGTGTGATGTTCTAAGTGACGAGTTATGTCTCTACCCGGAGAGGCTAACATTTCAAGTGTCCAGTTCATTCTTCATCGTTGACAACCTGTTCCCTCCTCCCTCCCACGTGCAAAGCACACGTGGCTAGTACTTGCTTCTAGCTCGTCTCCCAGCCTGTCTCAAGAAGGTCGACGGCACAAAGCTGTTGCCTCGACGGCATTTGGGTCATTCTTGGCCCAACAAGGAAGACATCAGGTACTTGGTGCAGGCACTTGGCCGTCTTTGCGGCCGGATGAGGAAGGGCCATGGTGCTCCTGGCTCTCCAGCACCTGCCTCTACAGTGGACGTCCCCCTGCAGTGGGAGAGGAAGCAGGCCCCAGCCGCTGGCGTGTCTCAGAGGAGCAAAGTCCCCAAAGGTGTGCGTTAGTCCCCTTGTTCCTGGGCCAGAATGAGAAGCCCCCAGTCCTTGCCTCCATCCCCACCCCCACCCCAGAACGAGGACGACGGGAGGTGACGTCACTTCACAAGGTTTCCATGAATTCACCCGTCGTCGGGCACGCACGCAGCCTCTACTTGTCAGTTACAGCTCAGGGAAGCTGGAGACAAGCCCAGGACACCCAGACCTCACGGACTTCGGGAAGTCTGGTAAGAAGCTTCTCGGGGCATGCGGGTGGCTCAGTCTGTTAAGCGTCCGACTCTCGATTCTGGCTGGGGTCATGATCTCAGGGTCAGAGATTGAGCTGGGCGCTCAGTGTGGAGTCTGCTTGCAATTCTCTCTCTCTCTCTCCCCCTCTGCCCCGACCCCCTCCTCGCACGCTGCCTCTCTCTCCAATAAACAAATCGTGGGTAAAACAAGTTTCTCTACTGGAACTGTGGCTTTGGTGTGGACAGACTGTGGCCATCGGGACTGTGGGGCAACGTTGCTGCTTCATCAGGGCATCTGGAACGCAGGCTCCACAGCCCAAACCACCCCCCACGGCTTCCATACGACCTGGGGACGAGTCTGGTTCACCTGCTGGAGGACGAGCCCCTGGGCGCAGGGTCTGCCTCAGCATTGCCCTCCAAGGAGCCCACCCCTCGTCCGGCTCACTGAGGCCATCTGCCCCGGCCACCCTCAGCTGGAGTCTGCGCTCACAAGCCCCGTCTGCCCCCAGGAGGGTCTGGTCTCCAGAGACGCCCGGCTCTGTCTTGGGGGGCGGTCATTCTCGTCACGGGTCCAAAGCCCCTAAGTGTGAGTCTGCTTCCTCCGTCTCTGTAAGGAGAGCTGACAGCATTCCCACAGAAGGCCCAGGGTCCGGGCCGGGTCCATGTAGACTGAGCAGGAAGCAAAGGGCAGAAGGGAATTTGGGGAGTGAGTCCCGGGCCAGCCCCTCTGCACCCTGGTCTCTTGCTCCTAGAGCCAGAGGCCCAAGCCTGCCCACCCCACCTGCGTCACGAGCCCTGCCCCTGCTTCAAGGGTTTTGTAGCGTTTGAGCTGGAGCCCACACATTCATCCTGCCCAGGACCCCCCACCCTGCTTGCAATCACAAGGTCTGGGAATCTCTTGCCCGTGCTGTGGAGAAACCAGGGCTTTTCTAAACAAAGACGCTCATTCTCGGGGCCGTACCCCAGCCCCCACATCTGCTCGGCAGAGCAAACTCCAACTGGAAGGAAATTACAAGCAAGCCGGCAAGAGAAGAGCTTTTGGGGTTGGTTGGTTGGTTGGTTTTTTAAAGAAGAAATTAGGAGCTCTCAGGAACCAGTGTCGGAGCACTGGCTTCAAAGCGGTGGACCCAGTCTGGCAAACTGCCAAATGTCCCCGAGCCTCCAATGTCCTTATCTGCAAAATGGACCGGATGAGACCATCTCATTCTGAAAGTCATTCAAGGTCATGTGTGTAGCACCTGGAACAAATGTTAGTGTCCTTTATGGGGTGCAGATAGGCGGCTAGCTTCAGAATTTCAGAATCTCTTGGCCAAAGGAAGAGTAGACTTTATGTAGTCGACCCTGAGTTTGACAGATGGGGAACCTGAGGCGCATCTTGCTCAGACCCCGGGCGGCGGCAGCACCAGCCCTCCAGCCTCAGCCACACTTGGGAGGCCGCGGTCGAGGTTACCTTTGAGGCCTGGGACGAGAATATGCAGGGAGCAGGCGTCCTCCGCTGTCTGCTGAGGGTGTCCCCCCGGAAGCAGCCACAGGAAGGCCAGGCCGATCAGAGCCAGATGCTGCTTCATCATGAGCGCTCGGGGGACACAGGCTCCTGTACCAAGGAAGGCGACACAGCGATGAGCATTCAGACACGGGGGCGTGACCGCATACAGGCTGGGGCTGGGGAGCTGGTAGCTGTCGGGGGCCCCTCCCAGCCTTCAGGTCTCTCCCTCGTGGCCCACCTTCGCCTCCCCATCCCGGCCACACTGGGACCCCCAACCTGAGCGTGGCTGCCAGATTCTCGCCTCTGCGTCTCTGTGGCTGAGACTTCGCGCGCACAAAGGCACACGTGTGGTCCTATGACAACTCGGACATGCTGCGCAGAACAGAGGGTAGAGCCCAGCCAGCTCCCCAGGACCGGCCAGCCTCCCATGGTCCCTGGGCCCAGGACCCCTCCATACCCCTTGGGGCTGCACTCTTGGGCTGTGAACGCCTGTCTCGCGTGGCTTCCTAGCATCACCGCACGCCAGTGCGCTCCTAACAGACCACTGTCCCGATGGCCCAGCTTGGAGCTTTCCAGGCGCGGGCTGTGTGTGAAGAGTCTGAGCAAGCCTGTTCAGCTCAGCGCCCTGCTGCGGGGCTCACGGCAGCCATAGCTCGTCAATTATCTGTCACTGTGACAGCACCCGTCGCCAGCAGGTGTGGGAGGGGGATGGAGGCCGGGACACACAGGAGGACACAGCTGGCCCTGCACCCCCATGGGGATCAGGCATGCCGACTCTTCCCCCGAGGGCCGGTGAGGAAGTCTTGGTGGCAGCACCCAGAGAGCCACCCCCCGAGACTCTGATGAACACACAGCGCAGGATCTGGGGATGGCCGTGCACCTGGCAGCCCCAGGACCAGTACCCTGGGCTCATCATGTCTCCGTCGCTGGCTGGCACCCTCCGCGTGGAGGGGAGGGAGGAGTCTGTGCGAGGAGCAACTACGTGAAACACGGAGAGGTGTGCCAGGGCAAGTGCTCACCAAGACGGCCGTGGCGCTACTGTTTGCACACGGGGAGGGTCCCACGGCCTGCAGCCCCTCCAGGCCCAGGAAGCCAGAGCCTCTGAACCGAGAGGTCCTGTGCCCCAGCCACTGCTCCAGCCAGGTTCTCCATGCGACAGATGCAGGCAGAACCTGTGTGTGCTCTGTGACACCCTGCAGCGAGGGCCCTGCTCCCCTTGGCGGGGACACAGGACACGCTGTGAAGGGCAGGGGTGAAGATGAATGTCCCCTCGACAGGGGACCGTAGAAGGCCGGTCGCCCCCAGCACGTTGCTCCCATTTCACACGCCAGGGAACCAGGGATGAGGGAAGTGAAGTCAGCTGCCCAGAGCACCCCACTAGTAGGTGGAGAGGTGGGGTCGGCCCTGGGGCCTCCTGGCGCACCTGACCTCTCCCTTCTGCTCCTGTCGGCCGTCAAGAGCACCAAGCCCGGGAGCGGAGGCCGCCCACCTCCTTACACTACGGTGGCAGCTTTTACTGTGTTATTTCACGCTTGTGAGAGAGACAAGGAGCCACTATTTACTACCACACATGGGCACACAAACCTCATTTAGTTCCCAAAACCACCTTGGACCTGGCTCCTCAATGCGATGGTGCCAAGGAGGCTGGAGGCTGGACAGTCAGCCCCCTCCCAGCCCCCCTCCCCGCCCCCCCCAGCCCCTCTCCCAGCCCCCCTCCCAGCTGGCACTCGGCCTGCCGCCTGTGCTTGCATGAGGGAGCAACTCTGAGGAGAAGGGAAAAGGCGTGAAGGTTTGCCCACAGCCCGCAGGGATGAGCTTTGCCCCTTTCACTTCCCCCCTACCACTGGGCCTTGGGCCTTGCTCTGGAAGTGGGCCGCGAGTGAGCACCTCCTGAGGCCGGGAAAGGCTCAGGCTTTGGGCAGGAGCTTAGCGGGCACTGAGCTGAGGACCCCAAAGGCTGCGTGAAGCAGCGAATGAGGGACGGACAGAAGCTCACCGTGGCGGCACCTAGAATTTAAGGTCTCCCCTCCCTGCGACTGCTTTTCCTCGCTGCCCGAGGGCTCCTCATGCCTCAGGTCCACGCGGGACCAGGGCCAGCGCCTCGGACATGGCCGGTGCGGGACGGGCTCGCGGTGGCTCCGGCCCTGCATTAACGGACCTGGAATTCCTAAGAGCCTGTTTGTGACGCTGTGTCCTTCACCGTGTCGAGCTGAGCTGCTGCTCTAGAAGCAAATGTGGGTTCTTTCCAGAATGTAGCTCTTAACAGTGATGATAACGTTAAAAAAGTCATGATAAACTTACATTTGGGCTCAGTCTACAATACTTGCGTCTCGGTGTCTGCGGAGGCGGAGGGGGTTTACATATTTCTTAACGTCTCGGGGTCCAAAGCTGACGTGGGAGTTTCGTCTCCAGCTGAGAACGGCTGTGTCCGGGGACAGCCACGCTGCTCAGCACGACCCCCGGCCCCCACACACGGCTTCCAGCCACAGCGGTCGCCACCTGGGCCGCGCAGAGCCCGCACAAGGCCCCCGGGCCGCAGCCGGAACCTTCCCCGCAGCCCTACCACCCCGCCCGCGCCTCGCCACTGGCTCCTGCATCTGCGTCTCCTCAGGGCAGCCCTGGTGGGGCGGGGGTGGGGGGGGCCCTCCAACTCCTCCAACTTCCAGCTCTGCCCTGGGAGTCAGGAGAGGAATTCGGTCTGTAAACGGAGAAGCCGCGGCCCGCTGGGCCCTCTCTAAGAACCACATCCTGATCCAGCCAGAGCCGGGAGGTTTCCACCCCCCTTGGGTGCACCAGGGTTTCTGAGGGGAAATTCAATTTGGAATTCTTAGTAGAAGTTCATTGTAAGAATGAAATTCTCTCTCTCTCTCTCTCTCTCAAATAAGTAAAATCTTTTTTAAAAAAAATAAAGAAATGGACAATGAAAAAAAAAATGTGGTATAATTTGCCAAACTCACAATCCTACCTTTTCATTAAGCTCTGCAGCATGTACAGCCTGAGAACCATCTGGAAGCACCAGGGGCTCTGAGAATGGCCACCCCCCACCCCCACCCAGCGGCTTGCTCCCCACGGTGACACGGGGTCTCCCCAGGGCCCAACCAAAGGGCACACACTAAGGAGGAAGAGGCCCTTCCCCCAGCTTTCTGCAAACCGTCTGTCCTCTCACGGCCCCCAGATCTCTCAAAGCCGTCGATGAGCTGGAATCACGGCGGACGCCCGGTAAGGAGAGCGCTTCCCACCAGATCAGAAGTCTGGCTATGCACGTGCCGTAGCTTTCCCACTTTGTCTTTTAAGTTTCTAAGTACGACCTAACTTCAGCCTGGAAGCCAGCTGGCCAGGGAGGAAGGGACCCTGTCACAGCACGTCACACCGGTTTGAGAGACCAGAGACCCCCGCTCTGGTCCTGCCTTTGCCCCATTGCTGAGCTCAGAACAGAGCCACGGGCCATGAGCGCAGATGACCGCTGTGGCCCACGTGGCCCCAGCCACAGGCGGCGGCCGCTCCCCGGGAACACACTCCGGCCACCTTCACGCGCTGCCACAGCCACCTCTCACACAGGGATGGGGATTCGAGAACACACAGCCCCACCTCTTGGAACGAGTGCAGAGCAGAGAAGCCTCCTTTTGAGTGCCCTCGTGAGCCGGCCCCATGGAGTCTCCAGCATGAGCTCCTGAATCACTCAGACCTTGGAATTCTAGAGTCGGGTCCATCGGACAGACCCCATCTGTCTCGGGGACCAAAGAACAGATCCCACCCCCCTTTCCACCGAGTCCTCCCTCTGGCCGCTTCGGGAACCTTGCCTTCCTAGCTCAGCGTGTCCCCGTGGACTGGCAGACCCCCGCCCTGCTCCCCAGGGCTGCCGGGTCACCCGGCAGAGCGCCCCTACCTGCAGCGCACGCCAGGCGAAGGGGGCGTCCTGACCGTCGGGGACCCACGAGGATACTGCGCCCGGGAGCCTCATAGCCGCTATTTACAGAGGCCGCCGAGCCCCACAGGCCAGGCGAGCATGGCCCAGGCCGTCAGGCTTCCCAGCAAATCAGGCTGGGTCTCAGCCTTATCTGCAAAGAGCTTCCTGTTTGCAATACATCCGCTGTCCTGCGGGAGGGCGGTGGAGGGTGTGGGAACGCGGGAAGCCGCCGCGGGGTCGTGGACCCGCCGGAGATGCCCTTCCGGCTCTTCACCCCGAGCCCCCCAGCCTGACTCTGGCGTCCGCTCTGTTCTCTTTCTCTTCTCCTTCTGAAGAAGGAAGCGTGAGTACTGAGTACGCTGGGCGTCGAGGGAAGCAGGGAGAGCGGTCACCACCAGGTGCCACATCAGACAGAAATAAATGTGGCGGCCCGCTTCCTTCCACTCTCCCTGTAGGGTTTCACTTCAAGGCACTCCCTGCTTGTCTACTGCCTGTCCCGACCTACCCCACGCAAGACCCAAACTCACTGCGCTCCCTGACGCTTCATGACGGCAGAACAAGGGTCTGTGGTGGGCGGGTCTGGCTCCTGCCTCTCACGGAGGAGGGGAGGGGGCTTGTTTAAGAAAAAGATACTCACGGATGTGAGGGCGATCTGGCTGCGACACCTGTCACCCCATTGATCGCCAGGGTTGATTCGGCTGATCTGGCTGGCTAGGCCGGTGTCCCCTTCCTCCCTCACCGCTCCATGTGCGTCCCTCCCAAAGCTGCGCGCCCGGTCGAAGAGGACGACCTTCCCCGATAGAGGAGAGGACCGTTCTTCGTTCTTCGGTCAAGGGTATACAAGTAGTTGCGCTCCCCTGCTAGAACCTCCAAACAAGCTCTCAAGAAAAAGATACTCACGTACAATTACGATCACAAAAGGCTACATTCAAAGATGCATTTTTATTTAGACTGAAAGAAGTCACAACAGATTACAAATTTCGTAAAGATTTTCAAATTCAGGGGCCCCTGGGTGACTCAGTCAGTGAAGCAGCTGCCTTTGGCTCAGGTCATGATCCCGGCATCCTGGATTCTTTATTAAAACCGCCAAATAGGGGCGCCTGAGTGGCTCAGTGGTTAAAGCCTCTGCCTTCGGCTCAGATCATGGTCCCAGGGTCCTGGAATCGAGCCCCGAATCGGGATTCTGCTCTACGGGGAGCCTGCTTCTCTCTCTCTCTCTCTGCCTCTCTGCCTACTTGTGATCTCTGTCTGTCAAATAAATAACTAA